AGTGTGCAGGGGTGTCACCCAGGCCCCATGGGCAGTGAGACCCAGCAGTGTGCAGGGGGTGTCACCCAGACCCCATGGGCAGTGAGACCCAGCAGTGTGCAGGGGTGTCACCCAGACCCCATGGGCAGTGAGACCCAGCAGTGTGCAGGGGGTGGCACCCAGACCTCTGCAGGTCCCAGGGCCACAGAGATTTCACTGCTCCAAGAGAGGGGCAGTGCCAGGATGGACTGTGGGCACAGCCCGTGGCTGCAGCAGGGTCAGCACACTCTGCTTCACAAACTCCTGACATTTAGGGAGCTATTTGCACTTCACTTTAGATGAAACCAAGAATCTTTTCTAAAGAATGAAGCTTACTCTTTCCTTTTGTTTATTTTCCTTACATTAGTTCTGGCATGGGAAAAGCCAGGAAGGTTTTCTTTGCATTATTTCTAATTTAATTAAGAGCAAGAACCAATTAAAAACTCCAATGGTTTCCCATGAACTTTGAGACTGAAGTGTTGGATAAATTTAGATTCCCCATACAACCTAATTTGATTTCAAAATGCCCTGGCCAAGGTTTCAGAAACAGATGCTGAAAGGTAGGAAGTTGTGTCCGTTTTTAGGTGGCACAGAAGGAAGGTATAAATGTCAGAAGTTCACAATAAATCAGCACAAACAGCTGCAGTTCAGCTCCCTTCAGATCAGTCAGCTCTTCAAAGATCGACTGCAAATGTGAACCATTTCTTTGCCTTCTGTAGGCACAGGCTCTGTGTTGACTTGACAGAGATGTATGCAGGATGGCTCTGAGCCTGTAAAGTTTGACTCCACTTGCAAAAATGTGGCTTCAAAATTTGTGCAGACAGAAGTAGAGCTCCTGCAGACATTTACTGAGCTTTTAAAGGAGAAATGGTTTTTCAGGGAGATGCCAGGACTCAGTCCTGTTCTCCCAGTTTACCAAGGCAAACCAAACAGGACATCACTGAGGACATTCAGTCAGACAACAGAAAAGAGTATTTCTGGACACCGTGGAACTCAAAGTTTGAAGCCTATAATATGGCAAGGTTTCCTCAAAGAAAGTCCTGCTGGGACTGCTGAGGGTGATGGAACATTGGTCTCACTGTGCCTCATGGTGACATTACCTGCTGATGCTGAGCTCAGGGCACACAGCCCTAACCATGACCTGTCAGAATCCTGTGCTCAAAACAAAGCTGACAGGAAACTCAACTGCCAGACAGAAAACAGCAGCACAGAACAAATACAGACAGCTCCTGCATTATAAATACAGAAATTACTATTGTCTGGTTGACTGTGCTTCAGCAATAAAAACAGCTGCTTTAGATGCTGAAGGCAACTTCTTCTGAGAGCAGTGCAGCAACAGGGTGTCATGCACAGTTATTCCTGGTGAGTATGTGAGATATGGAGCTGCTGGGTCTATGACACTGTTACAAATCCTGTCCACTGACTCCTGAGTTGGGATTATTTACTGTTTTCTGGCCTGAGAAGCAATAGCTGCAGTCCGTGAAAGACAGGTGAACACAGAGCCTCTTTCTCACCTCAGGTCTGCAGAGGTTACAGCACTCCCACGGGCACATGCCAACCCCTCCACTGCAGCTGTGTGAGCTTATGCAGCTCCTTCCCATGGCTGGAAAATCTGTGGTGAACACCTCCCTGTGAGCAGCGTGGACCGGTGTGGAGGTGGTGCTGACCCATCACACCCATCTGTCTGCTGGGGAGGCAAAGCATGCAAAGGATTTGCACTGAAAGCAGCAAATTCACTGCACTGTGGGCTCAGCCTCTCCTGCCTCATTCCCAGTTTGTTTATCACACGTGTGCGGCCCAGTCTGAGAGCAATACAGAGACCTTTCACCAGGGGGGAGAACACAAGGATTTCCGGAGGAGGAGTCTTAGCCTTGCCATTCAGATGGAAGAATTCCCAGCTAAAGATTACCTGACAGATTAGTAGATCATGACAGATCAGCTGTAACTTGGCTGCTGGAACGATTGTGCACACTGATTTTCTGCCACTCATGGCACCGTTAGGAGAAACAAGGACGTAATAAAATGCACTTTCAAGTGGGGAAAGCTGAGACTGATGGAACATAAATATCATCTTGGCATTACCTCCATGTAAGAGGCAAATTCAGCATATTCAGCAACAAGAAAAACTAAACTGGTTCTCAAGACCTTCAAGTGCCATTTCACATCTGCTCTAATTTGTCACATCAACTTCAAAGTCAATACCTGTAAAATGAAGTTGATTTACAAAAAAGACCTCAAAATTAAGTTGCAATCTGAGACTGATAGTGTTGTGCATTACTATGGTATATACTCTGCAGAAATATCTTCCCTCTCTTACTGCTAATAATGCACTCTTTTCACTCTGTAGTTTACACTGTCTCTTTCCATAGAGATTAAACATTTAAAAAGTCTCAAATGGTCCGAGGCAGGAGGAACTTGAGCTCACTTGTGAACCAGGCAGCGATTTCTCTGCCTGAGGAACAAGTTCCTGCAGGAATCAAGGGACATCATGAGCCCACATACTTTCTGTGAGGGACTATTCATGCATCTGATTAAACAAACTTTCAGAAGTGCTTAAATTCTTCAAAGATAAAGGTAACAAACGACTATCAGAGAAGCTGAACTGCTTCACTGTCACAGAGCTGCTTAGAAAAGGTGTTTGTGTGCCCAGCAATGGCAAACATCAGGGACCAATCCAAAGCAGTTGCTAAGAAAACCTGCAATATCCAGAGTGATTTTGCAGCCAAACTTAAAAGCAATTTTGCCTGGCATACCTGTGAATAAATACCTGTAGTCAGCAAAGGCAAAGAACTCCAGCTCCAAAATGGTTTGAAGCAAATTTGAAAGTATTTATTACAGAAAGAAACCATAAATAGTAATTTAATAGAAATCAGTGTTTTTTCAGCATGTCTAGCTCTAAACTGTTTGCAGTTTGTCCCTCCTATAAAATATAAATCCATACAGCAAGACAGAATTGCAATTAGACACAAAGTGGATTACTTTTAATATGGCAACCTGCTCAGAAATAAAACTCTCACAAATTGACTGTCACCTACTGTTTGTTTAAGGAATAAGTTTAGGGGAAGTTATGGCCATTCATTGTTTTGTTGGAATGGTCTCGATTAAATATCTCATTTCAATACAATCTGAAAAGCTAAAATATATTTTTGAGAGTAAACATTACTCCCTCAACGTTTTGTTCTTGGCAAGTTCAGTTGTTACTTATGGCAACATAATTGGCTGGAAAGATGCCAGTTTGTCCTCCTATTCTCCCTTCCCACCAGTCAAACTGGGAATTTGTTTTGGTTGTCACCATGATTTTGTCTCCAGCTTTGAAAGTCAAGTCCCCTGGCTGCTGCCCCTCGAAGGAGTACAGTGCTGTCACTTCCACTGGGCCACTCGAAGGGTTCTCTGAAAGCAAAGAGAGGAAAGAAGGGAGTTACTAAACTGCACATACCCCGAGTTCTGAAATGACAACAGAAAACAGTGACAAAGACACCCAAATGATCTACCTAAGCATCTAAACTGCTGGTTCCCCCCCTCCATTTCCCCTGCACTCCAGGCAAGGGCAGTGTGGATCCCAGTGCAGTGAAGTACCAAAGATCACCCACTTGCCCACCCGGTCGGAGGCAGTGGGAGCAAGAGGTGTGAGTCTTCCTGAATGACTGCTCAGGCTGCAGCTCTGGTCTGTGTGCTCTGGGACAGTCTCTGCACAGAACTGCACAGCTACAGCAGAGACCTGAACTTCTAACCCCAACTCCAGACCTAGGGTGGCAAACACAAAGGGTCCAAGCACCTCCCTTCCCGTTCTGCAGGGTGTGCAGTGCCTGGGATTTGGTGTATCCCACGTGTCAGAACTGGCTGTGGCCTGACAGACTGGGAGTCACTGGGTCTGCACAGTGGTACTTTAGAGCACAGGTACCAATGGCTTCGACTCCCTTCACACCAGGCTCTTACCCAGCTCTTTCTGGGGGTGGAATCATGCCATGAGACTCCGGATGGAGCACAATATCATCAGAATCTTGGGTACTATTATCCAGGCTCCATTCCTGTCGACAAGTTTTAGTCTCTATCTCAATGTTTATTACTACTGAACTTTGAATCTAGGCAAATACCTTCTTACTAGCAATTCTGTTTTCTCTCAATCCCTTTATCTGTCTGAACTATACGAGGCAGTTGTGCCTGTTTAATGTTGATTTAGAAAACAGTTAAGTCTCGTGCATGAATGCACCTGAAAGTGAAAAATGGAGGTGCAGTGCAAGGCTAGTTAAGAGGAAATAATGAAGATGTTTACACAGTCAGGTGGAGAGACCTCAGGCTGTGCTCTTCACACGGACACGATGGCTGCACAAATGCTCAGGCATGCAAGACTAAAGGCTTTTAGCATCTGCTGCACCTGATTGCTGCCAGAGCTGTTGTGAAGGGGAAAGCTAAGCTCTAACTGGTCCACACATGGCAAGCACAGAGCCAGAAAGGATGGCGAGAGCAGCACTGATACAGCTTTGGTTTTTTGCAGTCTGTCCTGGACAACCAATAGAGTGTGGCTAAGGGTTGGGCTCCATGATCTTACAGGTCTCCTCCAACCTTGATGGTTCTATGATTGTAAGATTGTATGATACCCACAGATCTTTTCTTCTGGTTGCTTTTATCATTGAAAAAAAAAAGAGGAAAAAGTCTTTTCTCCCAAGGCTCACAAACACCACCTGCAGCCAAGAGGCCGGAGAAGAATAACACAATACAAATGCCTAAAGAGCACAGATGGTTTCCACAGCACCTGTCGATGTGTGTGTTCATCCTATGGCCACTTCTCTCCTTCATGGCCTTGTAGCAATTGCCAAAGACTGACACAAAATTTTTGGCATGTGCTGGGAGAGAGTTGGTTGCAGAGGTCAAATGCTCTTTGTTTTTCTCGATCACAGTCTCTCTCCTGATATCTATGTTCATCATCTAAAGTCACACATCACTACTTCTTTCGATGTGAAGATACAAATATGTCTACCAGGTCCTTATTGCCACCAGTTCCTCCTACCAAAAAGGCAGCAACAGCCTGACAGACTGAGTATTCAGCAGTTCCATGACCCTGCTCCAAGAGTTCGAGCATTTGATACAGTCAGGATGGTAAAAAGTGTGAAGTCAAGATATTCTGATTGAGGAAATCACAGCAAAACCCACAAAAGAAAAAGATGCTTCTACTTTTTACTCCCAGTATTAATTGGAGAATAGCCAGAAAATACTGTGGCTCAGGAACTTTGAGTCCTTAAACATATGTTTCCATCACCGAAATGTTCAAATGAATAATCGCTCAAGGAGGAGAGTTACTATATATTTGTAACTGCCCAAAATATGTTAATATACTTGGAAAAATAAGATGTTTGACAGCATGAAAGAAAAGACTGAAAGTGCTGGAAGTGATGTGAGAGCTTCCTTTCAATATGTTTGAAAGAAGAGCTGGGAAGAGCACTATAATACACTGTGCCATAGCAATGGCAGCAACTACTAGTTACCTCCTCCAGGGATGGACTTGCATTAAGACTATGATTCCTTTCACACAAACTACTGAGTATTCTGAAATTGGCTCAGTAAAAGCAGGAAGAAAACCAAAGGGAAGCTAGACAAACTGAAGCATGAAAAGGTGGAAAAAAAGCAGCATGTGTGAGATATTAGAGCACAGGATGCACTTCAGTATCTCACATCCTTGATGCACCATGGCCATGCCTCCAGTCACTGCTGGCTCTGCTGTGTGAGCAAGGTGGTTTCATGCCTTCCCCTCCCCACACCTTGCCCTGGGCACGTGTGTCTCCACAGAGACCTCAAGGCACTGCAGCTGAGCACGGACAGGCAGTGCTGTGCCCTTGCCCCATTGCTACCTGCTATCATTTAAAAGTATTTTCCAGCTTTATTCCTGCCAGCAATCTCATAACCATTTCTACTTCATTTTCCCTAGCAGCTTTTCCCCATGCTATAGTGTCATGTTATTTCTCACAAAGATTCTACTTCCTGTGTTTTAATTCTGCAGTTTGGTAGCCCAAAGCAGACAGAATGTGTATTTATTGCCTCCAGATTACAGCATCCCATGCCTCATATTCACATGGATCATCCTAACAAATAGTATCTCAAATGAATGTTCTGTTATGAAATCTACCACACAGGTTATCAGGAGCTATTTCACATTCTCATTTCCCAGTGAAAGGCCTTTAGATACAACTGTTCTTTTCCACGTGAAGGTTGCTGAATGCACACACAGAAACCACATTTGCAGCTCACACAAGATGGTGCTACAGTGCTACACACAGCACATGCTGCTGAAAGCTGGAGACTGATGAGTGTGCACCCTGCAATAAACCCCAGCTGCACTGTGGAAACCCCTCAGGGAATGCTGTGTGCACGCACACAGACCACGCTCCCACCGACACGGTGGCCAGAGAAACACAGACATTCTGGGGGTAGATCAGTCCCTGTAGCAGCCAGCACGTGTTCAGTGCTCAGCAACAAACTGCTCTGACCACAACCTCCTCTCATCTCCACGTGTGTCATTTCAAACACTTGTCGTGACTGACTGTGCAGGGAACTGAGCTCTCAGGCTCCACCATCAAACACAGACCTGTTCAAAGAGAAGGGTGAAAGAACTGAAGGACCAGAGAGGTCATTTTGTGGAGATCATGGATTTATGTCCAAATGTGAAATAACAATAAAAACCTTTGGGGTGAATCAGCAAGGTGACTGTCAGAGCAGATTTTTTTGATGAGGAGATAGACACGAGTGAAGTAGTCAGCAAATGAAACGGGGAAGGGAAGGAGAGCAGAGAACACTGGAGAGGTGTTAGTGATGCAGCAGAGCCACTGAAGGCTGAGCTGGATGCAGAGTGTGTGATACAGCTCCACAACACTGAGCTAAGGGTCAAATCCAGTTAGAACCACCACAACAAAGTGACAGAAACTAACAACGCAGAGCGAGCAAAATACAGGGATGTGTACACAATTTACAGAAACTTACAGAGGGATGCAGACTGTGAATATGAATGGATGTATTCCAAATCCCAGAAACCCAGAGCCACACACATCACACAATATTGGACACAGATGTTGCTCCTCAGTTTGACAATCGCTAATGAACAAAAAGTCATTGGTTCTATAAACTGTTTTAACGTTAGTGAGTTTGGAAAGGAGAGAAGTCTCTGTGTACAATAATGAAACCTGCTCCAAGGTTACAAAGAGAAGGAAAGAAGAAAGTTAGTAAACAGCAAAGTTAGGAGGGAAAATAAAGATGTCTGTGATTAGTGCCTTTGGCCGTTCCCTGACTGTAAGCAGAAACACTAGCACAGGAAATAAAGGGCAAAGCTGTTTCAAAGAGACTGAGGAAACAAGTCCAAAACTGACCTGTTGATACTAACTTAGGAAGCAGTTATGTCCCCAACACAGAGAGAAAAGTTGGGTGCCGAGTTGTCTGGTACAATGATAACTCCTTGGCTCTTTTTCTCCAGAGAATTGTGAAGCTGAAATCACCAACAGCCTCAGGGATACAACACCTTGCTCAAGAATGAGGCAAATCCAGCGCGTGGTGATGTATGATCAGCCACACTGGGGAGGATCTACTGCTTACTGTATCCAAACTCACCCTCCTGGTTTCCATCATATTTTCAGTCTATCTCTGAACTATTACGTAGAAGAGCCACAGTGAAAATAACTTCTGAACATAAAGTAATGCCCTACACAGACTTGATTACTTGGGTGAACTGAGTCAAAGCAGCATTGGAAGGGAACTGAGGGGAGTGTGTGGAGGAAAGATGTAAGGTTAGTGCTGGGCTTTTGAGGAAACCACTAATCATTCCAACATCCCAGCTTCCTGCCAGCTGTTCACTCCTTTAATGTCATGCCACTACTGCATTTTGTAACTGCTTCAAAGAGCTGTAAAACAGGAATGAATACTAGCTTTACATTTAAAATATGTCAATTAATAGTGGCTTTGATCATAATAAGCCTGATGAGTCACACTCTGAGCTAGGACAAGGAAACAACAGAAGACACACTGTGTTGATACTCTAGAAGTATCAGGAACAGTTCAGTATCTGAAAGCATGAATGCAACCAAGCTTGTCTCCTCAGAAACAAAGCGATGGCAACTGTTCCACTTGTGTTGCAGTAGCACTCAAATACCCACAGAATGCCCCTGAAAACACAGAGAAAGATACTCTGGGATGTAAAGAAATGAAGCTACAAAAGTATGCAATTGCACATCATTATTTACTACATGCACACCTACAAAAATCCCAATCCTCTGTGCACAGCTCATTTTTCCACTCAGGAGTTTAGAAAGCAATCACAGTGATAAAAGCTGCACCCGAAACCAGCACTCTGCTACTGAAGCAGACAAAACATGGTGTGTGGTGGGTGTGACTACCAGTCCCAACATCTC